TACTCGAGTATTACTTGTAGCTTTACCAGCCAATCGCTCTGCAAAAGGGCGGGTTTTCGCCGTCTACCCAAACAGCACTTTCCACGTCCTCGAAAGCGTAACAATATCTTCAAAAGCTGCAAAGCACACTTTTAGACTCAGCTCATCCAGGCGAGTCAAGAAGGATGAACATCCCAAAGTTGTCACTATGCCGAGCCGCTGCCTTCAATATGTGCAAACATAAGTCAATCAAAAATCACGAAACTTCCTCGAACCCGTTTGCCTGCAGACGGGTTAGCGGGAATGCGCAGGAAGTCGGGTCTTTCATATTGGTAGAGGAACAAACACCGCCTTTATGCTCCGCCTACCAGGGTTGTAGATTCTTCACACAGTCTTCACCGCCCACGGGAGCAGCTCTCAGTAACGGTGTTCATTCCTCTACTTCTTTCGCGCTTATCTCAAATTTAAACCAAGGGGCGGACTGTTCATTATCACAGTGGTAGGCAGTAAACACTCACCCTGCGCTGTTAACACAGTGAATGTAGTTGTCATTGTCAGGGCAAATTCGATAGGCACATCCAATATCAGCCACGTTCGCATAAGCCAGCTGGAATAGTTTTGCTGCTAAGCACATTAAACAGACCATCATTTATACACACCATCGCAAAGTGTTCAAGGTCTATTTCAAACTGTTGATTGAGGACTTTCTTTACGACTTTGTGGTACTCCACTTGATCGTCAGTATTTCCCAGCATTTGCAAATAAGATTTCATTCGTTTATACCAAAATTCCAATAATTTTGTTTTTTCACTGTGATTCCTGAATCTTTGCTTGTTATCTTGACTGTAAGATGCTACTTCAAAGCATAGTCAGTGGTGGCAACAGAAAAGCTTTATGAGCAGTTCAGCACAGAGCCTAGCACGAGGGTGGCAAATGAGCATCTTACAATGAGAAACTAATCCGCTCTTGCGACTTTCGAATTCTAAGATTTCTATTGCCCTTAGCCGCAACAGCTGCGTACATCGTTCAACTGGAGCACGTAATTATCCTTAAAGGCAGTGTCCCGGCAGATCTGAGATCTCGAAGAAACGGTTAAATAGTAGACTCTGGACCAATTCGCATCAGATTCTGTTCGGTGTCTGCAGAGAGAACGTCTTCTGAATCGCGCGCGAGCCTCAATTTGGCGCGCGCTGTACGACTTCAATGACTCAGTCTGTACGGGACACACACCAGAGCTCGGTCAATCTCTATGCTATTCAGTGCTTGAATTACCGGCGTCAGGTTCGTTTTCGTAACACCCTTGCACTTTAAAACTAAACTCGTCCGAGCGAGCTTTTTTTCGAGAGTTGGAAAACGCTTTAAAGGCAGTAAGCTTTTGAGCGCTTTAGGCTCGAGAAACTTGCAACACCGGGCTTCCCATGAATACATGTCCTTCTGGACCAGCTGAGTCCGGTACTGCGCTTGAAAATCCAAAAAAG